TGACTATCCTCCCAAAATGGCAATGGCGTCTCTCAGCACGAGCAACCCAAGGGGGAGGAGCCAGGTGGAAGCTGCATCCTCTGATGGCCCAGGCTAAGAGCCCTCATCGCAGCCCTTCCATGCACTCCATTTGTCGTGGGAGTCGCCGAGATGGCCCACGTTAATGGAGATAAGAATTTCAAGGGTCTGATCTCAAAGCCGCCACAGGTATTAGCTGGGACTGGGCATGATGTAGAGAACAGAACACAAACACAGCCCTGCCCCCGTCTAGCAGGGAGACAAATGGCCATCCAGCAGTCACCGTTGAAAGCACAATGACAATGGTGGTAAGTGCTGGGGAGAGGGTGACACAGTTCCTCAATGGCCTGTTCTCAGGGAGGCCAGGGAAGGCCTCCCAGGGAAGGTCATGGTTGTTGCTATGGGCACCAGGGAACTGTAGGAAGTCCATGACTGGCCTGGAGTCATGGAGAGAGAAGAGGCCAGTGCAGGTCTGCCCGGGGAGATGCCTGCCCTACACCCCACCCACCATGTCCCAGAGGCATCCCCAGCCTGCAGGAGGGCTCCCAAGGGTGCCTTGGATCTTCTCCGTGCTGGTCTCACTGCCCTAGGAAGACAAGGACAAGGACCACCTCCAGAGACTTTGCCCAGTGGCACAGCCTCCAGGGCCTGCGGCTGAGCAGCCAGGGACCATCAGCGGACCCCAGAGAAGGAGCAATCAGGAGAGGGAACCGAGCACAGAGAAACATCGGCTTATAATTAGGTGGCCTAATCACCTGTGTAAATTGTGTATTTCTTATGATCGATGTGCTAAACGGCTCAGGTTTAATTAAGTTCTGCTGACTCGTTCTCTGTGAAGACCCACTGGAGTGTAACGCACAGCTTGCACAATGCATAATTGGGAGAGGAGCAACTTGAAAGGGGGCCAGTTTCCCATCACCTTCCTCACCGTCTCCCTGCCACCCCACAGGCCCTCCTGGGTCCCCTTGGCCAGCCCTGTGGGTGCGCTGCTCTGTGGCCACCAGCTTCTGGGCCTCTCTGCCTGGTCTGGTGGTGCTGGGCCTGGAGAGGAACTCAACGAGTTTCTCCCCTCCAGCCCAGTGCTCCTTCCAGAGCTCGGAAAATGGGACCCAGCACCCCCATCACCCTCTGAGACTGGGGCCCCAGGAGATCCTGGCCCTTCCTGAGGATTAAAAACCTTATCCCCTGCGTGGGGCGCTCCATCCATGAGCTCGTCTTTCCAGCTCCTTGTGCAACGAGGTCCAAAATTCCATGGGCTGAGCTCTGTGTTCCACATTCTCCTCTGCCCCATACTCCACGTACGCTGTTCTGCCTGCTCCCACCTGCTTTCTCTCTCCCATACCACTGTGGGCTGGAACCCAGGCGTCAGCCTTGCCGGCTCTCCCACCCCTGTCCCAGAGCAGCCTCCTCCTGAGAGTGGTGGGAAGACGTAAGTGTGGACCTTCATGCCTCCGGAACGCAGCCCTCAGACGCTGCCCATCCCCATCCCAGCCCGCCCTGTGCCCGACGGGCAGGTCCCCTCTGCTCGAAGGCACCACCCAGAGCTCCTGGGCACGGTCCTGTCTTCTGGACATCCTTCTGCTCCCCAGGCACCGGCAGAGAGATGGGCGCGTGCCAGTCCACCCCTCCTCTCACCGGCCCCGTTCTTCCAGTTTCCCCAGTGCCACCAGGGCTGGCTCTGTGACAGATGACACTCTCTTTCCTGGAGCTACGTGGCAATTAGAGGAAATTGCAACACAGGGAGAAAGTTTAGTGGGGAGTTTGCATGACGTTATAAAGTCTATTCTTTGCCAGGGAGGGAAAAAATTTTTTAAATATATTTTATTCATTATGCTATTACAGTTATCCCATTCCCTCCCTTTATTCCCGTCTGCCCTGCACAGCCCCTCCCACCCGCATTCCCCCCTCTTTAGTTCATGTCCATGGGTCATATATATAAGTTCTTTAGCTTCTACATTTCCTATGCTATTCTTGACCTCCCCCTGTCTATTTTCTACCTACCATTTATGCTACTTATTCTCTGTACCTTTTCCCCCTCTCTCCTCCTCCCACTCCCCCATTAATAACCCTCTATGTGATCTCCATTTCTGTGGTTTTCTGTTCCTGTTCTAGTTGTTTGCTTAGTTTGGTTTTGTTTTTGTTTTAGGTTCGGTTGTTAATAGCTGTGAGTTTGTTGTCATTTTAGTGTTAATATTTTTATCTCCTTTTTCTTAGGTAAGTCCCTTTAACATTTCTTATTAATAAGGGCTGGGTAATGATGAACTCCTTTAACTTGACCTTATCTGGGAAGCACTTTATCTGTCCTCCCATTCTAAATGAAAGCTTTGCTGGATACAGTACAGTAATCTTGGATGTAGGTCCTTGCCTTTCATGACTTGGAATACTTCTTTCCAGACCCTTCTTGCCTGCAAGGTTTCCTTTGAGAAATCAGCTGATAGTCTTATGGGCACTTCTTATTAGGTAACTGTCTCCTTTTCTCTGGCTGCTTTTGAGATTCTCTCCTTATCTTTAATCTTGGCTAATGTAATTATGATGTGCCTTGGTGTGTTCCTCCTTGGGCCCAACTTCTTTGGGACTCTCTGAGCTTCCTGGACTTCCTAGAAGTATATTTTCTTTGCCAGATTGGGGAAGTTCTCCTTCATTATTTGTTCAAATAAGTTTTCAATTTGTTGCTCTTCCTTTCGTCCTTCTGGCACCTCTATGATTCAGATGTTGGAATGTTTAAAGATGTCCTAGAGGTTCCTAAGCCTCTCCTCATTTTTTTGAATTCTTGTTTCCTCCTTCTGTTCTGGTTGAATGTTTCTTTCTTCCTTCTGCTCCAAACCATTGATTTGAGTCTTGTTTTCCTTCTTGTCACTGTTGGTTCCCTGTAGGTTTTTCTTTATATCATATAATGTGACCTTCCTGGCTGCCTGAGTCTTTTTGATGCTGTTGAAGTACCCAGTGAGTCCCTGGAGCATCCTGATAACCAGTGTTTTGAACTCTGCATCTGATAGGTTGGCTATCTCTTCATTGGTTAGTTGTATTTTTTCTGGAGCTTTGAACTGTTCTTTCATTTGGGCCATGTTTTTGGTGTTTTTTGGGGGGGGTTTTTTTGGTCTTAACTCACCTGTTCCATAGCAAGGGGCAGAGCCTTAGGTGCTCACCAGGGCAGGGCAACCCACATCGCTGCCTTGCGTTGCTGTACGTGGGGGAGCGGTCTGAGAGGGAACAGTGCCACTTGTTCCACTCTCTGCCCGTGTTCTCACGCCTCCTGGGCCACACATTCTCTCTCCAGCTGTCAGTGGCCCTTCCTCTTCCACGTTCCCAGCAAACCTCTGGGCATTGCCTACAGCTGCCACCTCCTCTGCTTCACCTCCCTTCTCTCATCTACATGCGGCCTACTGAGCCCTCACCGTCTCTACTCTGTGGGAACTGCCACCATGAAGGTCCACAGTTTGGTGAGGTCCAGTGACCACTGTTCTGCCCTCACTGTCATTAATCTATTCACAGCAGGGGCACAGCCAAGCCTTCTTCCTTGAAGCAGTTTCTTCACTGGGTGTCCTTGTCACAGCCCCTTCCTCACTTTCCTCCTGCCGCAGAGAGTACCCCGTCTTGGTCCCCTAGTTGGCTTCTCTTGGCTCCCTCGTTGGCTGCTGGACGTCCAGGTGGTGGAGGGGCTCAGGCTTACTCTTAGGCCCCCCTCTCTTCTTCACCCACACTTCCTGCCTAGTAATCTCACCCACTGCCACGACTGCAGAAGCCAAATGTACGCTGAGAGTTCCCAGACTTGAACTCTAAATATACGTGCTGCGTACCTATTGGATAGCTTTCTACGGATACTCAATAGGCACCTCAAACTGAACATGTCTAAATCAAGTACCTGATCTCCTCAATACACGTGCACAGGCCTGGCGTCAAGGGCATGTGTGTGACCAGTGTGGCTGCCCGGGTCCCGCACTCAGAAGGGGTTTACTGGGGTTTGATGCTACAGTTACCATCTTGAAATCCTTAGTAATGTTATGCTTAAATTTATGTTTTGTAAGTGAAGTCCAAGGAGACCATGAAGGACCTGCCAGGTGCCTGGAGCCTCAGTTCATGCTCAGTCCCCCCTTCCCCGGAATGCGCTCTCAGCCACCTGTTTTGCAGCCCCTACCCAGTGCCTGCTGCCTCCTCTGTCCTGGGCTGGGGCATGGGCTGGGCACTGGTGGGAGGAGGGTGGTCTCTGTGAGGGTCCATACTCACTCTGTCGGTATCCCTGTGCCCCAGAAAGCCTAGGCTTAAATATCAAATTTAAAAACACCTTACAAGTCAAGAGAAGACTGAGAAAGAAAGGGAAAAAGCTTTCTTCCTGCCTTTTGAACACAGAGTCCACATTTTCGTTTTGCGCTAGGCCCCACAAATGATGGAGTCGGCTCTGAGTGGACGCGAGGCTGGACAGGTGGTGGGAAGCAGGCTGTGAGGGGCTCACTGCTGTGGAGATCGGTCTTTACTTTGTAGGCCAAGGTTGGCAGACTCTTTCCGTAAAGGGCCAGGTAGTGATTATTTTAGGCATTGCAGGCCATGTAGTCTCTGTGGCAACTACTCATCTCTGCTCTTATAGCATAAAAGCAGCCATAGACACTATATAAACCAATGGGTGGTACCATGTTCCAATAAAACTTTATTCACAAAAGCAGACAGTGGGCCAGGTTTAGCCCCAGGCTCTAGTTTGCCATCCCGTTGTAGACAAGGGGGAGACATTGAAGGCATCTGAGCTGCAGAAAAAGACAATCAGCGGAGTTTCTGGAAGGTTATCTTGGTCTCACTGTCTATGATGGATGGAAGAGGGTCAGCCTAGGGGCAGGGATTTTAGGAAAAAAAAATACTGCAAATCTCTGACGTTCTAGGAACCAGGGGCCAACACTTGGCAGTGGCCGCAGAGGTTGGAAGAGTGAAACAAGGCAACACAAAGCCAACACCAAGGTTGCTGATGCAAATGGATCCCTCCCTCTTCCATCCAGGAGAGAGGAAGAGCAAGCGGAGGGTAAGAACCACCTTTACCACAGAGCAGCTATGTGAGCTGGAGAAGATCTTCCACTTCACCCACTACCCAGACATCCACGTCCGCACCCAGCTGGCAGCCAGGATCAACCTCCCAGAAGCCCGGGTGCAGGTACAACCAGCCCCACCTCAATGCCCCCACCTCAATGCCCCCGGGGGCCACGGGTGAGACACTGTGGATCCTGGAGCCTCCGGGGCTGCCCTGTCCAAATCTTTCCACTGGCTTTGTCCCACGAATACAGTCATATGTGCTAACTGCTCCATCCTGGGAAATGAGGTCCCCACCGTTATAGGATGATCTCTGTCCTTGGAGGGGGAACGTGGAGTGAGCTGGCGTTGGTGATAGCAATCGATGGGCGCTCCCATGCCCTTCCTCTCCACTTGTCTGCAGTTCCAGAGCATCGTCCACCACGCAGCCCCCTTCCCAAAATACCTCTTGGCACTCCAGACCAGGGTCAACAAAACTTTTCTGTGAAGGGCCAGGTGGTAATTATGTTAGGTTTGGGGGGCCATATGGTCACTGTCACAGGTATCCAACCGTATATTGTTTGTAGCATAAGAGCAGCCACAGACAATATATAAACAAGTGAGCATGGCGGTGTTCCAATAAAACTTTATCAACGACCACTAACATGTGAATTTTATATAATCAGCCTGCATCACAAAACATTCTTGTTCTTTGGGCTTTTGTGCAGCTATTTCCAGTGTGAAAACCCTCCTGAGCTCACAGGCCATTCAGAAACAGGTAGAGGGCCACAGGGAGCTGACGGGCTTCCCCTGATCTGGGCCACGTGGTTATGGCTTTGAAGGCAGCACAGAGGGGCGGAACCACGGTCTGAGACCTGGGTCAAGCCCCGACTGCCTAATCTGCATTCTCTAATTTCGTCACCCAGAGTGTCTATGGCTTTATCCATGGTTGGAGACACAGGACCCCCTTGTCACTCAGCAGGGGTATGTCCTGCCTCTTGGCACATCTCCAGTATTGCAAGTACAATTCTAGCAAACCCAAATCCAATTGTTGCACGGTTGGCATGCCTCTAACACAGTTTTCTGAGTCACCCATTTAAAAAAAAAAAAAAAAACAAATATGAAGCATTCATTCAAATTCAAAATCTGAGCAAGGACCCAGGTCAATATTCCACTCTTTGTTTTATGCCAACTGGCTTTTCTTCTGGTCAAGGACCACACCCACCTCAGACTTCTCCCCTTTTCCTTTCCGTTTGGAATCTGTCGCCAGCTAAGTTGGTAGCGCCAGCCAAGTGGCTCAGAATTCAGCGGCATCTCAGCAGAATGACCAAGTAAAACAGTCACGTGTCAGGGACAATCAGGATGCTCGTGAATGCAGGCAACTGCTGATGTCCCCGGAGATGCCAAGGGGCCCCCAGGGGTTGCAAACAGGTGGCCTGCCAGCAGGAAACAGCTCACCGGTGGGTTGTATTTGATCTGCACAGTATTTTAAGCCTCAGAGCTGTCACATAAAAATCAAGATGTCTGTCTTAGAAAATGGATGAGCCTGCAAGGCAGAGCTCACACTGCATGCGCGTGGGGGCTGTTGGCTGAAGCTGAGAGGCTGCCCCCTTATGCTCTGAGTGCCACAGACCCCGCCACTCCCAATTATCTGGCACCCACCTGCTTCCCTCCCGAATGAGCCCTGGCCTGCAGGCACTGAAGGTTATGATCCCCCAACCCGCTCTGCAGGCTGACCTCCAGAGCCAAAGAAATCCTGTAGGCCAGGAGCTCTCTAAACTGCAAAGCCCCTTGGGAGGTGTTCTTGTGCGTGCTGGGGGAGGTACTAGATGGAGAAAAACCCTTTTGCTGATCTCCACCCTCTCTCTCCCTTATCAGATCTGGTTCCAGAATCAGCGAGCCAAGTGGCGGAAGCAGGAGAGGACGGGTGGCCCCAGGGCTCCACAGCAGCTGCGTGAGGCCAGCTTGGCCCCGGCCACAAATCTGGACGTGGCCGTGAGTGGCTGAGGCACTGAGGGGACCTGGGGGACCCGCCCTCTGGGAACATCCCTTCCAGATCCACAGGGGAGGAGTCACCTCAGGGGAATTTTTTTTTTTTTTTAAGAAAAAGCGTGGGCAAGGAGGTTCTGGAAGTCTGTGGCCCCTGGGACAAATCATTGCCTCTCTCTCCACGTCCTTATCCACTGAGTGACAATCACAGTTCTTGTCCCTCCTCCTTGTATTACTTGTGTAAAACTTCACAGTTTACAAAATGGGGTCACAGAGTAAAGGGTGGTACGCAGAGCTTGAGCTCTGGAGTCAGACTGCCCGGGGTTCAAATCCCAGCTCTGCCCTTAGCAGCAGGGTGACCTGGAAGAGTCACTGTGCCCCTCAGAGGACAGGAACAGTTTTTTGTGTGTGTTTTTTTTGAAGTCACTGGTTTTTTTTTAAGATTTTATTTATTTATTTCTTAGAGAGAGAAGGGAGGGAGAAAGAGAGAGAGAGAGAGAGAAACATCAATGTGCGGTTGCTAGGGGCTGTGGCCTGCAACCCAGGTATGTACCCTGACTGGGAATCGAACCTGCAACACTTTGGTTCGCAGCCCGTGCTCAATCCACTGAGCTATGCCAGCCAGGGCTTGACAGTAACAGTTTTGGTGGGAATGAAATGCCTGAGGGGTGAAGATTGCTTAGCACTGAGGAAGTGCTCCCTAAGTATCTATCAGCTGTCCAGAGAGTCAGCACATGGGCAGTGTGTGTACCAGGTGCTGAACTCTGGGAGACAGCACTACATACAACGGACGGTCCTGAGCTAAAGGTCTATGTAGACCCACAGTGATGCTGCAAGGCAGGATTTTTTTATTTGTCCCCCTCCCCCACCCCACCCCCCCTTTTTTTTTTTTTTTTTTGCTAATGCAGAAACTGGGCTCTGAGAAGCAAAGTGACTTTTCCACATCAGGCAATTGCTATGAATGGTGGGGTGAGGACCAGCCTCTCTGGCCCCCAGTGCATGCGATTCTCTCCAGGTCGGACCCCCACCCCCACCCCGCACTGCCCAAGCCATGTGGGGGAAGGTTGGGAAGCTGCGGGCCAACCCAGGCTAAAGCGGAGGACTCACTGCTCTCCTGACCTCTCCCTGTGACAGGGTCCCCTGCTGCCGCCCCCTGCACTGCCCAGGCTGGCTCCTCCCGCGGGGTGCTGTCCACCAGCTCAAGGTCAGCCAGCCTCTGCCTGGTTCCCTGCCTGGACGCCGCCTCTCCCGGGCCGCCTCATCCAGCAGACCTGCATCCCTGTCCTCTGCTTCCCTCCCACTCTGCACCCAAAGTGGGGCAGCATCTGTGCCACTTCAACATAGGGACCGGACGGGCATCCTGTCTGCAATGGAGCCGCCCTCCTCTCCGGGTGAAGACGCATGGCGAGAAGCTGCCCAGACCTCTGGGGGAGTCAGTCTGCTGACCCAAAGGTGGCCCACACCCCAGGAAGCCTCCCCCGAGCACGCCCCTTGGAAGGCTGGGGCAGACTCCCCAGCAGGGTGGCCTTCCAGCTCAACGACAGAGGGTTTTCAGACCTCAGGGTGAGCTCTGGAGCGAGCAGTGCATTCTCTCTCTCCTGCGCTTCCTCTCACGTGCTGTGTGGCCTCCAGCCGGTCACTCGCCCCATCTGGACCTCACGTGTAACATGAAGCAGTTGGACAAGATGACCTCTGAGGGCCTTCCGGCCCCTCCGTGGGTGAGGTGACCCACCGTGAGAACAGAGGCATGGAGGAGGCCAAGGAGAGGTTGTTTGCTCTTTCACTCACGACACATTTATTCCGAGCCTATGGAGTGCTCTGCCAATGGAACCGGTTGTGGACAGGAACAAGCGAGGTGCTGCCCCTGTGAGCTCAGTCCAGGCTGGTCAAAGGGAGAGTGCTAACCTTCCCCTGCAGGCACAACATTTGCCCATGACCTTGCAGGGGGTCCATGTGTAACATTCTGTACATCTTTGATGTGACTGTCTCAACGAGAGAAATATAGGAAGTTGTTTTTATTTTAAGCAGCACTTCGTGTCTTTGGTTATTCTGTTGAATTCAAGGGGGGCACGGGGGTGTCATTTCTGGCTCAGTGAAGAGTAAGGCAGAAAGCTCTTTGCAGAGTTTATTTCCCAGGACTTGTGCAAGGAGCCTAGTCGGAAGCCTAGTTTCACTCTGTTCTGAAAAGCCTGGGGTTTCATTTGACTGCTGTTTCCTTGCAGTGAGACCTTGCGCAAACCACTTGCCCTGCCCGGGCCTCAGTTTTGGCATCTGTAAAATGGCCTGCCCCCCTGGCCTGCCTCACAGAGCAGTCAGGAGGCTCTGAAAGGAAGTGGATGTGTTTTGCAAAGTGTGAGGGCAGGACCCACTGTGGAGTGATGTTGTCCCAGATCCCACCAGGAAAATGGCGGCTTTGGATTCCAGCCCTGGCGTAGGTCACCCCTGCTCACAGGGAGGGCGTGCCCTGAACTTCCCTTCTGCGTGAGTATTGCTTAGATGCGCCCTGCTAGGCAGGACAGGGCCTGCTCCCCTGAGCTGGGCAGGCTGGACTGACCTCCATGTGCAGTCCTAGAAATAAATTCAAGGACTCTGCCCCAAGTCCCAGCACCTCTGCAATCTGCCCGGATCCCTGACCCACCCAGGAGCTGGGCTGGGAAGCAGGAAGCCTGGGTCTTGGTGCCGCACTCTCTCTAATGTGCTGTATGACATTGCCATTTGATCTCTCCAGGCCTCGGCTTTCCCATCTGTAAATTGGAGGCAGCTAGGCTAGCTCTGCCTTTAGGTATGCCATGTGCCGGAAAGAGAGTACAGCCCACTGTGTGAGTGTGCTTTGCAAACTTAGACGTGACAAATCACCCAGAGCCCTGGCTCTTCTCATTGGCATCTAGCCTCCAGCAAACTCTACATGGAAGGACAAGGTTAGGGGTTCGGGGGCAAAAGAGCTGATTAACAAAGACAGGTATCCCCTAACTTACTGACTCAGGGAGCAGGTACCCATTTCATAGCCCTGAACTCAAATGTGCAAAATGTCACTTTTGTCATTTTGCAATAACTGGATTTACTTTCTATGTCATGGGCTGAAATTTTATTCTAGTAACTTCTATGTTACTGATGCCTCCAATGCCCAGGTTTAAACTCAGTCACATTTGAGATATCCCCCCTTTGTTCCCCTCCTTCCTACAGGGGTCTTTGCTAGGTTGAGGGTGGGGTTGGAAAAGTGTTTACACAAATGCCACCGCGGTCTCTCGGGGGAGTGGGCATCCACTCCCCAGCCTCTGTCTTCCTCAGCCCCTGCTGACATCCACTGAGTGTGTCTCAGCCGGTCTGGCCGTGGGTGGGACCCCTCCACCCCACATCAGTCAGTCTCCTACTGTGGGCTCACACCACTGCGGCCACCCACCCCAGCTGTAAGGACCCTCACCCCTGCATCCTCTCTCTCTGCCTTCGGGTTGTCTCTCGTGAACAGGAGGAAGAGCTGACAGCTCCCCCACAGCCTCTGGGACCGTGGGAGCCCTAGGCCAGGCGGCAGGCTCTCTCCCAAGACCTCTCACAGCTGTTTCTGTGACCCTGGTTAGAGGCAGGTCGTGGATGAAAGCGCAGCGCTGCCGACCTCCCCGTGGAATGGAGAAGTCCCACGACCTTCAGTCATATCCCGCTGGAGACCAGGAGAGCACAAACTCCAGTGCGAGCCCAAAGTCAGCGGACCGATGTCCCAATTCAAAGACAGTCAGGCAGAGAGAATAAATTCTCCTTTCCTCTGCCTTTCCGTTCTACTCGGGCCTCATGTGCACCCGCATTGGGAGGGCGTCTGTTTTACTCAGTCTACCAGTGAGAATGGGACTCTCATCCAGAAATACCCTAGCACACACGTCCATATGAATATGTATCCCAGTCTCTGGGCGTCACGTGACCCAGTCAAGGGGGCGTGTAAAATTAACCACCACTGTCCCCATCTCCTGTCCCAGTCACATAGCCCCCTTCCCCCAGAATCCTCTAGAGACAGAGTCTGGCTGACCATAAGAGATTCCTGTGACCAGCACGTTACATCTGCTTCAGTACAGATGTAAAGGTTGGTTTGGGGGGCCACCTCCTCTCCAGGGAGGGATTTGTCTTGTCCCCCAAGAAACTATTTTACTTCCTTTATCACTTTAGAACTCGTGCCAGCTGTGTGGCCTTGGGCCAGTGACAGGTCCCCTCTGTGTGCATGCTCTCTGCACAGTATCAGTTTCTTGTGTCTGAGTGTTTCGGTGACAATTAAATGAGTGGGTACACTTTGGCATGTGGTAAACACTCAACAAGTGTTAAGAAAAGGTCATTTTCCCAACCCTTTCTGTTACCCAATAAAAGTGGGGTTCAGCTTCCCACCACCAAACATAGGCATATTCCAAAGACAAAAGTTGGTGGGGAAGAAAAGAGGTCTTTATTAAAAGGTTGCACAGTTTGTGGGAACGGGGGACTCCCCAACTCCAGGCCAATCTCTTCCACAGAACACACAAAAAAACACATTTGTTTCCAAAATGAATGAAATTCAGAATCATGCCCAGAAATCCCGCTCCACCCTCATCTGTCCTGCAGAGCATGAGGCTGCCAGGGGGACAGTTCTCCAGTTTCAGGCCCCCTGGAGTCTGCGGTGGGGCTGGTGCTACCAGCGCTACACAGCTGTGGCTCTTCGCTTATCCCTGCCACAGATCCCAGGGGGAGAGAAGGGGCAGGTCTCTGCCTTTCTGCTATTTCAATCTCCCGGCCCAAACTTGCCTGTGCTCCGGAAGTACCCAACCTGTCCAGCCAGTCCTGTCCTTTTCCCGTGGGTACAGTGGCTAGTCTGCACCTCCTCCTGCTGCCGTGTTAACCTTAATTTGCACGTGCTGCTGTGACCTCTGGTTTCCACTTCAATTAGGAACCAGAAGAGGGTAGGACGGCTTTCCCCTTTGTCTATCACTCTCTAGCCTTGCACAAACTCTGCACGATGACTTCCTCCAGCTGTGTCACTGCCCAGTGGCGGGGAATTTGCCCTCAGGTGCCACACAAGCTTGTTTCCCCGGGGAACCCAGCCTCTCCCATGCTGCCTTGGGGCCCCTCCCCTCTGCTCCAGCACCACGCCAGTGTCATGCCTTCTACCCCTTTCTCCTTCTGAACTTGAGCAGCTATTCTAAGCCCAGATTCAGATTCCGTCCCAGTAACTTTTTAATTTTTTTTATTGATGGGGGTGGGGCATCGATTTGTTGTTCCACTTACTTATGCGTTCATTGGCTGGTTCTGACCAGAGACGGGACCCACAACCTTGCCGTATCGGGATGGTGCTCTAACCAACCAAGTACCCAGCCTGGGCCCATCCTAGGAACCCTTAAACCAGTCTTCAGGAAACAAGCAACTCTCCAAAGAGCATGCAGTGTTGTGTATCTGTGAGTGAGTTTGTTTTTCCCAGGGAAATGGTTCATTGCTTTCATCAGCTTTTCAAAGAGCACTGTGGCTAAAAATAACACTAATAAAGCACCCCTGTCAAACACACCTGTGTCAGCTCCTGACAGGTTCATATTCTGGTTGTGTGGACCAGAGACTTAAGATCATTTTTTTAAAGATAAAATCATGCAAACATAAAATGAACAAGTGCCGAAGTTTTAGCTCACTAACTAATGAGGGAAGCAGTAAGGCATCATGGGCAGTTCCAAGGAGAATTCAAAGAACAGATACATATCTAGGCAATCAGGAATGCTGACGTGAATTACAAATAAAGACCAAAAGGGACCGTAGCTACAGGGAAACAATCAATTGCATCTCCACCAGACACAACTCATTTGCATTTCTATGGACAAAGATTCATTTGCATTGTTACCCGTTTTCTGCAATTTAAAGAGTTGAAAAATAGCTCCAAGACAACAAAAGGTGCAGAAATCCTGGAAGAGTGGGCTAGACAGAACACCCAGCAATCTTTGTATGCCCATTTCAAAGATTGTCACAGTTCTTCCTGACCTGAAGTTACTAATCTCTCTGAACGTCACTTCCGTCATCCACTAAGTGGGCGTAACAGGACCTGCCTCGGAGTCAGCTGTGAGGTAATATCAGAGAACACAGGTAAAGTGTTTTCTATTTGTCCAACACTAGGAATTTGGGAAATTACTATTCACCGCCTTTCAAACTCCTCTAGAACTCAAGTTTTAAAGTCTATGCCTAGGTTGTGTTTAGAAATACAGTAACATTTCTTTAATATCCCTGGACTTTTGATAGTTCAATTTTTACAAAGGCTACGAGTCACAGAAAAGTGTCATAGAGCAGAAATAAGAGATTCCCAGGAAAAACATACAATGGATACTAAACATATGACCTCATTCATAATTATAAAATGTCAATAAAGCAGCATGAAATACATTTTTATCTTTCAGATTGGCAAATATGTAAAAGTGTTGGTGAGGAGGTTGATGAAATAGTCACTCATATTTCTTACACTCATAAGGAAGTGTAAATTAGTAAATTAAATAGGAAGATAACAACTGTTAATATTCTAAATGCAAATCTTTGACCCAGTAGTTGCACGTACAAGAACTTATCTGGTAAATATACAGTATATAAGTACTAAATGCAAGATTGTCCACTGAGACTTCATACAGCAAAAACTGAAATCCACCTATATAGGACACGGGTTGAGTAGATAATAGTATATCTATCCAGGTGTTTAAAATAATGAAAGATTGAAATGTACCTCATGAGAAATTTTCATTAGATGTGTCATTAAATGGAGCAAGTGGCAGAACAGTATTATGACCTTGCAACAGGGTGCAGCCAAGAGGTGGGCCCCCAAATAAGGGTTTGTAATGGGGCCCAGAACTCAAGGGGTCCAGGAAATATTAGGAAAACATACAGGATGTCCTCACCACTGCCCACACAAAACTAAGCTGGGGAATGGGACACATGGAGCAGGGCCATTGGAAGCTGTGTTGTATAGCAACAGCTTTGCAGCTAACCTCCGCATGGTCACTTAACATATCTAT